ATGTTAAAAGTCTTTATGTAATTACGCAGTAATTAAATAAATTGTTACAGCAGCTAGTAATAAAATATGGGTACTTATTTAAACAAAGTGTTTTCTATAAAAAATATTCGCAATTAATAAATAAATATCTTACATGAGTGTATAAGTATGTAAATATATGTATTTTAGCAAATAGACAGTTACCTAGCTACAAAATTTGTAATATAGGTCAATCGTAAGTAACGAAAAATCAAGTAATAGGCGCTGAAAAACTTATTCATCTAAAAAATATTCAGTGTAAACAGATAAAGGTCGAGGTGAGAACTTCAATTGTACTTAGGCCTATTGATTCAATATTTTTGCAAACTGTTTTCATTACTTATAAAACTTAAAGGTTAATTTAAAACTACATACAATATCTGTAAGACTAGTAATATATTATTTGTATTAGATTATGTTTTAGTATGTATTTTGTTGAACCACAGAATCTGTGCTGCGGTAAAAGAATTATTGACATACTTAGCTGTACGTGACCGGATTATACCTATTGATACATCGTGATGAAAAAGATGTCCTTCAATATCAACACCAAGCACAATATTATTATGTGTAAGCAAAATTTCATAACGATTAGTTGACTTGTTAAGGCGAAGAAGAAGTACTTATCAAATATACAAACACACTTTCACATACTTAGCAAACATTTGTAACACAACTTTAACCAAAAACGTTCTACTGAGAAAGATGGTGATAAAAATAGCTACTTTAATTTTAAAGACTGACTCGTTTGAGATGGCCACGTTTGATGCATTTCTCAAAATAGTAGTCTAAACAAAATATAAAACGGACACCTCAATTTCATAATAGCATAGCACAGAAATAACCGGGGGCTAATAAAAGGCAGGGCTGAATAAAGCGACAATGGCGCAACTAGGCGAGCTGGCACATCCGGGAAGGCGGTCGTGTCAAGGTCACGGCCTGTGGATCGATGCAGCCTGTGCCCGTGCGAGCCCCCGCCGCGCCGCCCTGCCTCCGCGCCGCCCCGCACGCTACGCCTGATACATTCTCGTAGCTTTGCGTATACACGTTTTCTACGGGAGACATAGATATTTTTTTTAAGTCAAAAGAAACTACATTTTGTTCGGTTCATAATAGGGGTTCTAATTTGTAACATAGTGATGGCATGGACAGAATTGAATAACTTGCCCCGAGAGACATTATCGAATCACAAAAATATTTGTTTACATAGTTTTGTTTACATAACGTTTGGTCGAGTAACTAAAAATTTTTATTTAAAAAGTCAGTAACATTTGTTATGATAAAATTATCTGAAACTAACATAAAAGTAAACTCTGTTGAATGTAAATAAATTATCAAAAAAATCCAGAATTTAAATATCGCGTTACGTAATTAATAAATAATATTTTAGTTGTATTAATATATCTTACTTATAAAATTATACCAAAACTTTACTTACTAAATATACTCAATTAATAGGCTACTTTTAATAAAAAAAATGTTCAAGAAATAAATAACTTATTAAAAATATTTTTAATAATGTTATACATATTTTTATATTTTATTAGATAAATCAAATACTAACGAGTACTCTTTACTAACGAGTAGACAAAATCAATAACAAAAAAGTTATATTGGGCATAAGTATAGACATTTTGTATTGAATTTAAAAGTCTTAACTTTTGCATTCATGATTCCGTCATGCTTTGAATACAAATTTGGTCTATTTTATGTGATCAAAAGAAAGTAAAAGAGTTGGGAACTAGTGGTTTTTTATTCCGACTAGTAAAACTCAATTCGTTTGTATATTTTGTTACTATACTCGTGTTACGGAATTAGATGCGACACCAATTCTTAAACAACTTTGATCATTCTTTGGGATCAATAGGAATTATTATCCTTCTGGTTTATTATATTTAGAGTTGCGGTTTGGTTGCGATTCTACTTTGTAAATATAAATATTTTCAATCTAAAAATGTTTACGTAACCTTGTGTTTTTTTATGTAGTGTTTTATCATGATTGATTCTTTTTTTTGAACCTGTAACAACAAACATGCTGACCACTCACCATGATGGAATATGGTAACTACCGTTTATAAACATGAATAGCACCATGAATCTTTTAAAAATCACTATAATCACAGAATTTATAAGTATATTTTATTTTAGATGAATTTCCATTACAGAGAAATAAGGTATGCTTCTATAGCCTGTAATTTCACTGCCATGTTACACTTCAAACCAAAACGCATCCACGCAAGTATGACTACTTGGTGGTAAAATCAAGTAAGATAGATGTAGATGTAAACAACTTTAAATACTCGTAAAAAAGTCTGTGTCTGGCGAGATTAATATATAAACGTATTAATAATATAATATCAAACATCGATATGTTCAGCTCATTTCATATTCACCATTATTGAAACCACGAATTATAAAGCTCTATTCCTTATATTACAAAAGCAATATTTACTTGTATATTTCGAAATGGTTATATTACATTACAGCTGTGTTACATATAACCGCCATTAAAGAGGTCTGCTACGCAGTAACGTAACAAGATCACCTTAAATGGGCTACTGTTAAATATTTTTAACCATACCACCTCCATTTTCTGTTTACAAATGGAATTAATTTCAACATGATATCATATCAAAATGCTTTTGTTTCATATTCAATGAACCAAACTAGATAAACATTACGACCGAAAATTTTGTAGTAGGTACCTTAGTCTATTACCTGTTCCAATTTTGTCAGAATGAATTCTAGGGAAAGAGGCAACCAAACATTCGCCCAGAGGGGCAATAATGGCAGGGGGCAAAATTACAAAATTGAAAACGGCTGACGGCTAACTAAGAGTGAGCGCTTTCTGCTATCGTCGTCAAAATAATATAAAACTTATAAAGTGTCATTATCAAGGACAGTAAATATTATGTTTGCCCGGAGCGGTAAAATAGATTGGGTCCCGTATTTACTTATACCATCGACAAAATAATAATACTTCATTTCTTTTTCTATGGTTACACATCAACTATCTATCCATATACCTACGCTTTATTTGTAAGATTATAGCCACCAGCTATAAAATAATAAAATTATACACATATGTGAAACTTTTTCTTACAAAAATTTTACTTTTTAATAATCATCTTGATTATTGATTATTTAATAGGTCAAATCCTTTAATACATTTTATACTTAGGTACATACAAATATTGAATAAAAACAGCAGAAAATATGTATTGCACATTAGGGATTCTTTTTGTTATAATAACGGTATATTTTACTCTAATTGAGATTTCGCAAGTGTTAAAGATAATTCTATTAAATTCTGCCTAAGCAAAGCCCATGTACCTAATTTTCCATCCAAAAGTTAACACGTTTGATAAAAAAGAGCTGTGTTTGCAACACAGACAAAAAATATCACAAAATGAAATATTACATCCAGAATGTTGCACTGGACGTAATGGAGAGTCTGTGTACTCGAGGTAAAACAATTTTATAGGCTTTCCAAATTAATATAAACTCACAAACGAGAACCCAGATAATTACATTAACAAAAAGTTGCCTAGTATATCATTATATTTATTTTAATCCAGAGGTGTCTATACACATTAATATAAATAGATGCACATGAATTCAAATTGCCTACATGTTAATCATTCAAACGTTATAAAAGTATTTACGCATTTAAAATCCAATCTTAATATTATGGCTGTAAAGATTATACTATCACTAGTGATATGATATGATAGCAATTTGATGACATTTTTGATATTATTTCATCGCTAATAAAAATTTGTAATAATTCACAAATAGTATAACGAAGGAACATTTGTCGTAATAGCTCTAATAGCTTATTTGTACTGTGTGATAATGTAAATAAACAAATAGAACGCTTATTTATATTTAGAAATATCCTTATTAAAGAGTACCATTTATAGAATTATCGCAGCATATCGATTCTAAAGTTATAACCTTGAAACACCGTGCGTCCACCTCTCAGGCAACGGTCATGGCCATATTGCTACCCTTGTATTAAACAAGAAACGTCCGCTCACCTCAGAAGCCGGTGCCCGAATGGCCTTCTACGAGCAGTAACAGCTCGAGGGGGATGGATGGGAGAATGTTTACCCTCCTACCTTCCCTCAACCGTGCCAGCTGAGCAACGGCACGCTATATTTAGGTTGCGCTGTAAATATTCGCTCCAAGTACGGAAAGCCCCCTACCAGTACGAGGGAGGAGCGCACTGAAAGGAGGTACGTTTCCCGCGCTACATAAACGGGTAAAAGTTGAAAGTTCACAACGCCCCGCGCACGGTTCGCGCAGTTAGGGAACGCTCTCTTTATTTAAATTCTATTGCAACTTGTTCGCCATTGTAGCCTCAACTGAATTCGCAATGCCAACTCTAATTTTTCAATGTAGCACACCAACTTTTTTTGCGAGAACTTGTGCAATTGCTTTCTACCCCTTCAGAAGTTCAATTTAGAGTTGTTGGATTTCAACACTGTTTTTTCCCGAATGGCCTTTATTGTTATTACACCAGCGGTCCAATTTGGCTAAAACAAGCTTTGAAAATTGTAATGGTTGCGAGAATGTTTTGCTGAGCTGGCTACGACACAATTTTGAAATGGACACAAATGTCACTTTAACAAAATTGAAGCGGATTACTCTTGAACGTGATGCTTTATTCGCGTACCAATAAATATCGAAATTTTTATATCGAAATAATTTTATTTATTAGATTTGTCTTAGTAAAAGCATTTAAATTAAGATGTTGTAAATTTACCTTAACAGGTAGTAGGTACATTTTATATCAATTAATATATATTTTAAGTGTTTACGAACATTTTCCTGGTTGGTCTATTTGAATATACTCTACGTAAAGCAAAGCATATTCAATTTACAATGTTATATGTTAGCCTTAAAGCTAATAAAATCAATTTTGTTTTCAAATTCTTTAATATTTAAATCATCTAGGTACTGAATAAAAGCCATTAACATATCGCAGAATCAGTTCAATTCCAAGACCTAGTTTTGCTCAAGTAGATTAAAAATATTCATCGTCTACTTCACCTGATTAATATTTATTATCTTCATCGAATAATGTTACAACGCCTTTATTATAATCTGCATCAGAATTTTCGAAAGCATCATACTTTTCATGTTTAGGGTCGTGGAATGATACAATGTTGAATACTGGAGCAGTTCCGCCGAATGCTATACGATTCTCGTGACTTGTTATCGCAAGGATAGTTCCAGCTGCTGGATATGAACAAGCTATATACCTGTTATGAAGATTTATAACTTCAATCGTATTTGTGCCGCTTCCACCAATAATACAATACTTGCCTTTACGATTATACTGAAAAAAGGAATATCTGTCATACAATATAACGTTTAATTAGTTTAAAGCTCATCATCATCATTTCATCAAACTAATCTTAGTGTAGCGATAGTAAAGTAGTTTACAACACTGCTTCACCTCATTATAGCATCGTTTTACCCATAACCATTAATCTCAACTAGAAACAAAGAGATTTCTACTTAGCATGAAGACCGCCTTTTGAAGTATAAGTACTTAGTAAAGTATATATAATCATAATGGAAAGTAAAAGTGAGGAACTTTAATATATTATGACCAGTACAGGATCAAAAAACGATTATGATGATGATGGCATATTATTAAGTACAACAGTATACTAGTAACACAATGAAAGTTTAAGTTTCAGTTAGATGTTAAATAGGTATTCTCATGAAGCGGCAATGCTTACGTTGCTATATTACGATGTTAAGATATTATGACGATAATGATTATAATAAATGTATAATAAGTTGCACCAACTATATTAATTGTCAGTACTATCTTTGATACAAGAAGTATTATGACATCGTAAGTAGCAAAGCGTAAGAGGCAAACACAGTAAGGTCGTGATATTCTTTGTCTTCAGAGGGCAGTCATCATTTTCCATCATTTAAGTATTCCATTATAACCAAACAACATCCTCAAAGTAAATATCCTTGTCTTCCAAACCTTAATTAAAACCCAAAATCTCATCAACTAAAAGCCTGTTTCGCCATAATTTATTATTTGACATTTATTTTAAATACCTCCAAAATTAACTAAAGAAACGGTACCTACCTAACAATTTATGTCAATTTAATTAAACTCGAACATTCCAACTTTCTAACCAAGATTTCAACATGACCGCACCTTACATCCGAAATCCCAAAACTTCAGTAATATTAGTACTTTGTGCTCGAGAAGGGAATTAAAGGAAAACAGAGTTGTGAAATCTCAGCTATCGCTGTTCATGGCAGCTCCGTGATGATTCAATTGTAAGGTTTATTTTAAGAAAATTATGTTTTCATTATAAATACAGATGAGTTTTTTATATCTCAACGAGATGGGATTGTATTTAATTTTGGGATCGTAATAAATTTACCTAAGGTTGTTACCTTTTTCCTATTTCGTTTCCTAAATGGGCTGACGACTTACATAATAGCTTCTCTTAGATAAGTCCTTTGAGGGTAATTAAGATAAGTAGGTACATAGACTGGATATATTACCTGTGAAGATCTCCAATATCTACAGGCATAAATGTATTCACCGTCAACATCAGGGCGACGATTTTGTACCTAATGATGTTGAGTCGCTTACGAGCGACCAAGTCCCATACAGTGAGTGCTTCTGTTGGTTGCCAACTACCAGCGATGCAGTGATCTCTCTGAAGAGTATGAATTGTTTCTCTGTTAGACTGGTCTATAGTGATTATTTTGCACAAAAATAGTTTACTAGGTTTGTTATGTCCCACGGGTTTACTCGTTTGAATTAAGATAAAATGTATCTCATATAACAGATTTTGTAATAGAATGCAATCTACCTGTATACTTCAATGTTATAGGATACTGTTTCTATGAAGATCCATTATCGAATTTACTCTAAATATATCTAAGAACAATATTTAATAAATCTAATATTAAATTATTTTTTATAGTTATACATTGTTGTTTCAAATGCTTAGTAACATTTTATTTTAAATGTTGAACAGCTCCTGTTTAAATTCCGTATCTGGTCCATAACAGTAACATAAACATTACATAATTGGTATTAGATACACATTAATAAAGTGATAAGTGAGGTATATGACATCCCTATTGTTGTTCAAGTCTATTAAGCAAAGGTTTACCATTTTCCAACAAATGGAGCGTAATCTTGTTAGGAGTTACAATAGCAATTCCTAGTAATATAAAACAAAGACCTCCAAATAGTACTCTGGGGTTGAACCAATTCTATTTTAGGTACCCACTTCCAATTTAATATGCGTAGACTTTTCTAAATTGGTTTAGACTGTTCTATGCTTCGTCGTTCGTAATCAAATTTTCCCGATTGTGATAAGATATTTGGCAACTCTGTCCAATAACTCTTAGTCTTTTATCAAAATGTAACTTAGAAACGTAAATTAAAAAATAAATAAGTTTAGATTTATTTGATAATTATCAAAGCCTTTAAGACCACACCTGTTTCTACATTCATTAATAATATATCATAAATATAAAATATCATGCGACCTTGCTGACTTACATTACATATATAGATATACAACAAATTCTTCGATGAATCCTAAGAAAGAATTCATTTGTTTATTAATAAATTACAAAATTCGGCGAACCTACTCTATAAGAGTACAAAGAGATAAACTAATCTAACTGCTCTAATCTCGTTTATAGATGAGACCATACTTAATAATTTTAAAATTACTGTTATCGACTATATTCACATTTGCCTTTATTTATAAATATGTGAGGTAATAAAAAGATTCAGTTCAAGCTTATAAAAGTTATTACTGAATAAGTTTTAATTATATAGTTATCGCTACAATTTTATTTTATAAAATAGGATTATATACCTAATAGTCTTATCTATAAACTACACACGTCAAACTTAAAGGAATTGGCGAACTAAAATAATTGAAGGTGGAAAAATAACGTTGCTCAAAGACGAACAACAAACTATGAAAACCTCAAACTTCATAATGAGGGAGACACGACTTAGCAGATGAAACACTGGCAAGTTGGTAACATGACAAAGGCTGAGTTTTTAATTAAAAGTGCCTCGAATTTAGCTTCGAGCACGTATAGTATAATGCAATAGGAGTAAAATTACACAATATTCTTACACAACTTTGAATATAGGTAAAGTTGTTTTAACTAAGATCGTTTGAACTGCCGACACCAATATGCAATATGAAGATACTTATTGATGGGTACTTAGCTTTTTACATTGAATCTATCTTGTAAAGTTACAAAGGAAACAAATTATTCAATCGTATGCCAAATACCTAAAATCACTTGACGTAATAGGTAGCTTTGAATTAAGAGAGATAAAAATTATTATTCTGGATTAACACATGATTTTTTACAGTAATGTCCCCGTGGGGTAATTTACTCAATTCTACGCAGAACAAAGATTTCTAGATAATAAAATTAAGCTGCCGCCATTGAGGTTTGTAGCCGTGGTTATTTATCGTAGGATAGATACAGTAACTTAGAAGAATATCTAACTACATAGTGTATTGTACAGACACTTATTCATTATCATCTAGCAGAACGGTCATATTTATTGCACGCACAATGAAATTTATTACCATTTTACTGGGAAAAAAGAGTACAACAAATTTTTCTCTTTGTCTCTCGTTCGGAGTAGACGTAAATATAATAAATTGATATACGAGTATAGGAATAATTTGTTCATTAAACATATTTTACCTATTTTTTAAACATGATGGTTCATTAAATTTTAATAATAATTAAGATTTTTTTATTTGCTACAACTTAGAATGACAAACAAAAGACGGATAGCACAAGGCATAGGTTGATGGATATCGATCAAATATCCTTGATGCGAAAAAAGTCATCCACCATTTCGATATCGTCCATGTTGATCGGATATTTATTTTCAAATATATTATGTAAAAAAGCAAAAGTATTATCTAATATTATTTAATAACAGACTCTTAACATATTCGTTATTGGACCAGTATATAGATAATGTAACTAAAATATATAGATATTGCTTTACATTATCCACCCCGTATACCTAGACAATGAACAAAACCACGGATATAACAGAATATGCTGTGAGTATAGGATAATTGTCTGTGTGGTCCCCGCATAGAATAGGCCATCCCTTACATTCTTACCTAACTATTAATGCTTTCAACTTAAAATATCTTTCATCCATTAGGCTATTTCTATTTTTCAATCTAGACGTGACCTGTCCTTATCTACCAAATTTCTAATAGGTAGGTAATCCTAAATAATCCTACTAGGCTCTCGGTATTATTTGATATAAAATTAATTTTTCTAGGTATTTTTCCAGTCTTGTCTACTTTACTGACAAAAAATATTAATACTAAAATATTTCGTTGCGATTTTGTCCCGCCGAGAAAACAAATTATCTACAGCGCAATATTAAACATTTCGCAAGTAATTTTCCAACTTGGGTCAAATAATATTGTTGTGTATACTGATATAAATATAACTAAAGTTAATTTATATATAACTATTTATAACTTAAGATAAATTATAAGTAAGTACTACTCCGTATAGTATGGTCACCCCCTGACACTCACTAGTATTGACTTCACCCTTCTGTGATTAAAAAATATAACCATTCAAAAATAAAACATACGACACTCGGTACATACACGCATATGTATTTGCATATGTAAAATATCTTTTAGTTAATAGTGATAGGCATAAGTCATTCCTTTTTTGTGTAAATTGCCTATGAGTCCTCAGGAATGGCAACGCATAGGGGATATCATGCGCGAAACACTATACTTTGTTATGTCCATGGTACTGCTCATGTCTATAGGCGACAGTTACCACTTTCCATCAAGTGGGCCGTTAGCTTGTTTGCCATTCTAAGTTGTATAAAAAAAAAATATAATTATTTTGTTTAATCCGCTACCATTACTATATGTGTAACTGTCAACACCCAAAGATTGGCCACCACTTTTACTACGCAATGTTCCACAACCTTTCACATTAGCCATCAATCTCCGGCTGCCATTATGTTCACTGACGTTTTGCGACACGTGTTTCACCTCTAAACGAGGCATCTTCAGATAAATTATTAGATTGCTACTTGAACCCTAGTATTAACGGTTCGACACCCAAACTGCGAATTGGTGGTGAAAGGTTGTAGAACTTCTCATAATAATAATGATGGTTGATCTTAAATTATTGATAGTTACACACATACATAGGAGTAGTCGAAATAAAAAAAAATCTAATCAAATAACCTACTTACGCAAGATAACATTTATTTCAGTAATATATTAAAAAAATTGATACGATCAAAAAATTGGCAATGAGATGGAGAGGCAAAGATATGATTTTTCCATTACACTCTCATCAATCAAAATAATTTATAATACTACTAGTAAAACATACATTAATACTAACATTTAAATCAATACTATCACTGCAGATATCGACACCTTCAAAAGTCATCACGCACCCAACTTTACAACGAGTGTCCCAGATCTGGAACAAAAGATAGATTTGTATATAAGCTATATATATATGAACACTATCGCAGTATCACGGAATAGAAACTACTGTTTTGGCCACGACATTTCCCAACACAAACTTCCGAGGAAACCGTATCAAAATTCCTACAGTAGCTTCTCAAAGTAACATATAAACATACATTGAATGCTGCCGAAGAATATATTTCACTGCATTGAATATTTATTTGTCCTTTAAATACATTAAATTACATTTGACAGATATTATACGTAAATAATTTTAATAAAACGCAACGCGGAGTGAGGGATCTCCCCTTTTAATTACAGTATACAACAAGGGTCTACGATCTGGTGTAACGTTTATTAGAATTTGAATTATTTAATTTAATTAATGTATCATTTGAACCCATGTTACATCCGTGTCGTCACGGAATAAGAATAAATACAATGTATTGTCCTTGCCCCTAGGATATTATACAAAGGATAAAAAAATTCAAATAAAATTATGAACAGAAAAAAAGAAAGAATAAAACAGAAAAATACGGATGGACTTTATTAAAAAATATGAATATTTGTCATAGAACAAATGAATTTACCAAGATTTTACGAGGATTTAGATACTATGCTCAATAACCTCAATGGTGCTTCTCAATAGGTAGGTCTTAAAATGAACATGGACAAGACTAAACTAACTGACGACATCAACTCAGCTTTCAGAAAATTACGCCACATCTTTTCCTTAAAAATACCTCAAAGTTTGAAGGCAAAGGTCTTTAACCAATGTGTATTGCCAGTGATAACTTATGAAACCGAAACATGATCCTACACGATTGCAAAAGCTTCAAATTAGTCAGCGGGCTATGGAGAGGGCTATGCTCGGAGTTTCTTTGCGTGATAGAATCCAAAACGAAGATATCCGCAAAAGAACCGAAATCACTGACATAGCCCTAAGGATAAGCAAGTTGAAGTGGCAATGGTCTAGTCACAGCTCGAAGAACCGACAACCGATGGGGAAGAAAAGTTCGTGATAAGACGACCCTCCACTCCACACACAGTGGAAGTATGTGGATCACGGCTGTTCCTTATGGCAGTCTATGGGAGAGACCTATATCCAGCAGTAGACGAATAATGCTGATTATTATGAGTATTATGAGGATGAAATGAATTTACTAAATAAAACTAATTGAGGTAGAAAACATACATATTTTATGATTGGTGATGCTAATTCCATTTCATATATCAATAATAATGATTTTGCATCTAATATAAAAATGTGCAACAAATTGTTAAAAGTTTTATAAAGCAATGATATAACAAGAAAATTACATACAGCGGAATGGCCATAACTATGTGGAAATTCAAATAGATAATGCACGTGTGCCTGCATAGGACAATTCTTTGTGGCGACATAAAAGGAGCGTTTAATAAATAATTTGAGCAGTTTAACCGCTAAGCGAAATATTTTAATCTCGACAGAGATGCTTTGTGTCTGTACACGGTCGTTGGCCGCGTTGTTTTATTCACAATGTGGTTTCAGGCTGCAAGCTGTGTCGGCTCACCGTATCATCCGCTGCGTCTAAGCAACAGTCAAGTATATCGTGTTTAAATGAATACCAATGATATATACGAAACTACTGATCTGTCCTTTATAACTTCGAAATAAATCTAAATAATCCTTATAAACAGGAAAAAATATGTTGTCTCAAAGTGAGTAGTCAGAGGTAGTTTTTATACAACAGCCAACAGTATACTGAGAGTGGTAACCATCGAATAATTAAACATATAAAAAGCATCATAACGTCTATGAAGCTATTACAGAATACATTGTGACGCTCATAGTACCTACCCCTTCTATATTATTACGACGCTAACTGGCTTGCTATCATTCTCACCTATCATCTCTCAATGATACCCGTAGGCATATACTGTCAGCGCGGGTTAGGTTACCATTCTGAGGACTATTGCCATTGTAGTAAATGTAACATTCGACATGCTCTCTTTTTACCAAACATTAAAAACATAAAGTATTATATAATTTAATACACAAAGTTTTTTAGTATCGGTATATAAATTCGCATTCACGATTTTTGCGGCATATAATCAATGGTACTACTTGGTCACGACGCTGTCTAATGTTTATTATTATCTTTTTTTTTTAATCTTGAAAATGTATTCCAACAGCACTAGAGTTGCACATCGTACAAAGTCGTTTAGATAATTCTCGCTCACGTTTCTGCCTCTCGAAAGCAGTGCTTGAAAATCCGTGTTTCAGTTTGAAAAGTGGAATATAGTAGTTATATTACAGGATACTGCTGAGCCCTAATCCTTGTCTCCAGGAATAGCTACTTTTGTGCAATCTACATGCTGTTCATATTTACAAGCAAGTCTCTGACCGCTTTACACTTGGATATAACTACAATCAACACTTACATTTAACGATAAATTTGCACTATAACTCTCACGAAACTTATCATTAATCAATTCATTGGTTGATTAACAGTTATGTAATGTGCCTATTTATATAAGTAAAAATTACAGGTGTAAAGGTACAATATTACTTAATATTTCTGTAAACATACAGTACTTCTTCGCGATTACGGTAAATAAGATTTCAACTATTTTAAAAAGGCTCTTAATCTGTATCTAGACTATTATTTCTGATATAACGAGATATAATTAAAAATATTTGGAAATTAAAAAATCTATTTAGATTTACAAAGTTTATTTCCGACTGTCTGATTTGTATAATTAGTTAAAACTGAAAGCCCGTTATTGCGTATTATATTATTAAAAAAAAAATATGACAAAAATGCCTAAACTTTGTTTGCTTCAACAAAGTTAAAACTATAACAATACACATTGTTCTCTGTTAATAGGCATGACAGCCACCAAACTACGTCAGACCTAGCCTTTGAAGTGTTTTGTACATTGCTTTTTTTTAATTTTGTAAAGCAGCTTCGTGAGCAATAATAAACGTACTGGCTGTGGTTGGCGCTTTGCTAAAGTAAATATTAAACGCTTACTTGTTTTGTACAAATCTTTGTATACCTGTTTTTTTTTTTAATAGTTCAATGCCCTATCTAGTTTTTAACTAGATTATCTGTATAATAGCTATCACAAGCTAGTTGTTATGGCTGCTGAGACAGCTTTTGACTGCAGTCAGTTGAGGGATCCCAAAATTCGAGATATGACCTAAACTTCCGAATTTTTAAATTCGTGTTTGAATCTCATTTGATACGAGTATTTCGACCGTCACTTAAAGCAATGGTCTAATAATCTTCGTTAAATCAATGTAACAATTAATACTGACTGACTAATATATAAGTATGTAGTCAAAATTAATAAAAGAATAAAATTCTGCTTAAACTTTCCTTAATGGGTGTTAGTGTCTGCTAACAAAAGAGTTCCTACAGGAATGGAAGATAAAGAGTACCGCTCGGACTAAGCCCGAGAGAACCAACAGTTTCTACCTACTCGTATATCGAGAGTCAAATGCACAGCAAACACTTTACATATATATATACTATAGATAAGATACATTGGGAATTTAAGATCAAATAGCTCATGGAGCATGAAAAGTCTTATAAATATTTGAATTTAAAAAGTGATTTATGTACCTAGATGTTGCGCAAATAAAAAAGCGGGATCAATCGATATAAACTTAATAATTAATTGCCAAATATATGTAAGTGCATTACTTCAGAGTAGCTGCACTACTTGGCTAATTAGTTTTTTGGTTGTATTTGTAATTATTAGGAAAAGATTTGTATGAAAAACAATGTTTGAAAAATCCTATGGTAAAGTGAAATATTTGCGTTAAAACTTAGTATAATCGTGCGAAATCGGGGAGGGTAGTTACTATGAAATAACAACGGAAACAGTCCTTATTAATTACAAAAGTTATTATGAAACTCGAATCATTATTGGCATTGGCATCGTGCATCAAAAACTAACCGCTACATCACTGATAATATAATATGAAACACATTTTTTATTTCATTTAAAAAAAATTAACGACTTGACCAGTTACGCCGTGTTACGGCATTATCAGTGTCATAAAAATATATATACATACCCTTAAAGTTTTATCCCAACCTCCGGAAGCGAATATAAAAGGTCTCTGGTCATGACATCGTAAAGCACACACTTGACCAAAATGGATACGTTGTAATTTCTTGGGTATAAACTGTAATCGCAACTTATGTACTTTGTAAGTCACTGCGGCCTGAAATACAAAAATTCATAATGACCATAAAATCCCACAAACAATATTCAAATATTAATTCTGAGTAGTTTACAATTCTAATTATATATATCTTTGAGTAATAAAATCAATTGTATTATATTTTTATTAACAGTTTTATATTATTATTTATTTTATTTAATATTAAATCCACACACACACATACACACAAACAGCTCTTATAAAATAACTTTATGCTGATTATCTTATAAATACAACAAATAACGGATTTAAATTTTATAAACAAATATTATAAGTCTAAAACGAGTAAGAGATCAACGTTCGTATCATGACGAATGTTTGTCATTCAGGCTCACAGATGGTTTTTTTAAACAAGTTAAGCATTCTCCGTCAAAATACGAGTAACTATTTAAGTCCATCCGAATATTTCTATAAATGAAATATATTTTGTTTATCTATGTTTTAAGCTCTTCACATAGAGGTTTCATTTGAAAATTTTATTTTCTGTTGACGCATCTTTGTTACATGTTGCCAATTTGCTGTCTACATAACGTCGTAGGTAATTAGATGTAATAAAATATATTTTATTAATACCTACATGTACTCGTATATGATAGGCTATATAAATATAGTTTAAGAGATATATCACGAACACTTTCTTTAGCAGTTATATACTATCGTAACAATCTTACTAATTATTTCGTAATCAAGAATATCTATCACAAGAACATCCTTTTATAAGAGCAAGTCAAGCAAAAAAATAAGTTCTCTTAATTGATTCGAGACTAGTTATTCTGGATCATTCCAGCATAACAAGACCGGATATAATTAAGAAATATTCAGTTCCTAAATTAACCTAAAAAAAAAATAGAAATCTCAATTACAACTCCATTTTTAAATTAGAACTCTTTATTACAAGGAATACTGGGGATAACTCGTAGCACTAAAGTTAAATGGTGAAAACTTCAACGTAATCTTAAACATATTGCACATTGCACACATTGCACATAACAAATGTAAATTTTTATTTATTAGTCATTCATGAAAAATAGTGTATAAATGCCGTATTTAGATTTTTACTTGTGTAATAATTTCGAGAAACGAACATGTCTCAAAATAAGTGATAATGCATGAGAGATGGTATAGACAGATTGAAAATAATAAGAAATTTTGCTAAAGATATTTATAGTTATTGTGTATATTTACGAAAAAGTTTTTGGTCTTTATTTAAAATTGCTTGTCCTTTTAGGTGCGTCAGTTCTATCGTACAACGAAAACGTTAAATATCAAATTAACTCAGACAGATAGATATTAATGTAGGTTTTTTTTTTTTTAATTATATATAGGTTATTACTGTATTTTTCATTACTAAAAGGAGAATCAGTAAGTATAAGATAATAAAAATAATCAATTTTAATTTCAGTTACAACAAACTTAAAGTACATGTCATTACTATCATATTAGCCGTTATCTGTCCACTGCTGAATGTAAGCCCACAATTGGGAGAGTTTTGCCAGTAGTTGTCACGCTTGGCAGGTGGATTGACAGCCGCAGTTAGGCTTTGATGATGTGTAAAGAGAGACGCTACTGTTCATCCCTCGATGATTAAATAAAGTACATATACAAGTATATATTTACTACATGTACACTTTTAGGCCTATCATGATTTTAAGGAGAAATATTAAGTACATATTTTGTGATGTTTTTTACATAGGATATTATTTCAAAATCTATTCAATAGTTATATCTATAATTACAGTTCATTTAAAATTACATATATATTATATAACTATTGAATCTAATAATAATAAGCATACTAAATAAAAAATCATAAATAATAACTACAGAATACATATATAACGAGATTGTCAAATTGTTCTTAGCAAAAAAACAAGAATATTATAGTACAAGATTGTCCAATATTTGAGCGTCAAAATTGAAGATTATTATTTTAGGCGATCCCTTGTGACTCTTAAAAGAAAATTTTCCTAGTCGAGTTTAAGTCTTCGATAATAAATATGGCGTTACGAAATAATCATCAAATAAAAAATATGTCACTAAATTACTAGATTAGTCATATTGGTTTTTATTTTCTAAAATTTTGAATTCACAAAGTAGAAAAAATGGTGAAAGAAATGATGATAGCATTCTATCGTCTTTACTTCAAAGAGTAATAAATGTTATGTTATAAATAAAAAAGTTCTAACGAAGTTCATTACTATTAAGCGGAACTAAGAAAGACTTTGTACAAAAGATGTTTGCTTGAATACCTCTGCCTCATTCGTGTTTCTACCGTGAAACAGTCATGTTTGCATGGCTGTGTTTCGGTTTGAAGGGTGGGTTATAAGGTGCAGAGGAATAACACCTGAGTCCTCAGGAATGGCAACGTATGGGGGTATCATGGGCGAAGCAGTATACTCTGTTATATCCTTGGTTACTGCTCATGTCTGTAGACGACGATTACCACTTTCCATCAGATGGGCCGTCAGTTTGTTTGCCATTCTAAGTGGCATTAAAAAACTACTGAAATCATAACACAGTAAGCTATTTGTATGGAGGAGATATTACGATAATACATTTATATCGACATCTGTCGATTTTGGAATGAAAAATTGTTTTATAAAATTTTAGTCAACTAAATACTCGCTCCTACTTAATCTTTGAGAAAAAATAAGTTTACCTTATTAGCATACAAATTACAAAAACTCTCAAAAATCAAAAGTTCTATGATAATAATAATTCGTATTTAGTCGTATTCTACATCCTGAAGGATCAAAGGCTTTCACGGACCTCATAAACCGATGCAGTGTTTGAATTTATTGTAGCAATAAACTAAGATTAGGCTGTAATCTTTTATTGTATATTGCGTTTCATGCGAACTCGTTGGGTATTACGTGGTTTGCTGTGAGCATTATATTATTTAGATTATCCTTTTGAAATGGGCTTTGTGGTGTTATCCTTCATTGTAATGAAGTCTTATAACAATAATTTGTAACATAAACTTTATAAGATATACTCGTATCATCAACCCAAATAACGGACAGGTTGATCTGTTTACTGTAATTTTAAAAGTTATTAATAATTTCTATGTATCTAGTGAGAAAGGATATGAATCAAGTTTTACCTTTTTTTTAGCTCTTTCAAATAATCAAATTTTTCTCTTTCTAATGGTGCAAGAAAAGTGAAGATATCTTTATTAATATCTTAATAAGATACATAACGTGTCAAAATACTAGTTATCTAAAACAAAAGACTGAATTCGAATCAAAATGATAATAGTTTATAAAGAAAAAAGTACTAACTAGCATTTCTCAGTAGAAGCTTAGATTTATATAAGCCTTTGCATATTAAGAATATGCAAATTTACACAGTATTTTTTTGTAGTTCTACAAAAAATTGAAGACACAAATTGATTTATGAAAATGCATCGCCTAAAGGATTACAAAGAGGTTAAAAGCTTGTTAGAATATTCAATTTAGAAAATTAACTATTTAAGTGTTCAATGTTTTGGTCTAATAGAGCAAGAGCCACAAAAGCTAGACCTTCGATATATTATAAAAGCGGGAAGTTTAACTGCGCATGTCCCTAACACAAGTAAGAATAATCAGAGAGTATGTAGTTTAGATCATCGTGGCTTTAGCAGGTAACAGGTAACAAAGATGTATAAAATTACTCCTCAAAGTCGTAAAAGTATAAAGTGCAATTTAAACTTTAAAATTTAAAAATAAGAAAAAATACTACTATAAATAATATAAACTGACTAACCACCATATTTTTACCTTCAAAACTGTAAGGTAAATAGATTCTTTACCAGTAAATATTGAGGAAGCGTTTTTCAAAGTTCCCACGAGAATAAATGAAAGTAGGTTCCGCGTGGGCGAAACCGCAGTGTTTCCTTTTAGTATAATGATATTAATATAAAAGTATAAGATCTAGCGTGAAGACAGATGATATAAAAATGTTAAGCCAACTGCCTAGATGCAAATACCTTTATTGTTATTGCTTTCCTAAGGTTTCAAAGATATTCGTTTCGAAGATAATAAAATATCCAATGAGTATAAATTTACTGAACTACGTCGAGAAATCTTAAATCACTTTGCTCACTCACATTGTATATGTAATTTAGGTATGTTTTACATATTCACTAACAAAATAACATTTTAGTATCTAACTATTCCATTCTGTTCCAGTAAAATAACAAACAATAAAACCGGCAAAGGTAATATTCTGGCAATATGTACACAGAACAAAGTCGTGATAAATAGGTGTATTATGAGTAGATTAGAAATTGAAGTACTTACTTAGTTATAAAAAATAGTTCGATACTTTTACACTATTTCCCTTACTAAACATAGCCTCCTCTATAAGAGAAGTTTTGGGAATAATTGCCACATTTGGCAGGCGGATTGTCAACCGCAGTTTGACTTTTGGTGTTGTTTTAGAAGGTGCGCTGCTGCGCATCCCTCAACCATAAGTTCCCTTAGTCGCCTCTTACGATACCCTCAATATTATCCTTATATATATCCAAATAAAATGTTTAGAATACGCACTATTATACATTTGATATCAGGAATAGGTATATCAGTTTTAAACATTATATCGTCTGTACTTATCTAGGGAATTCTTTATAAATTATTCTATTTTTATGTAATTCATCTAGAATTACATAAAAATAGAATAATTTACTTAATTATTAGCTAATAAAAAATTGACAATTCTCTTTCCACATTCTATATTTATCGATATAGATTTAATTAATATGCAATTTCAAAATAAATTATCAATATGTAGATAGATTTTCTTTAATTCAGTTTGTATAGTTAAGCATTTTTAATTACGTAACCATTGTGTCTACTCCTAAAATTTATTATAATATACCTTACCTCTTGGGTTTCCATATCATAGATTTTTATTGAACTGTCAGCATATCCAACGACCATCTTCGATTGGTCAGCAGTTAATCCCAAAGAAAGCGCCGGAGATCTTTCTGTAAAAAAATAAGTTCAATTTTTTATTGATATTCATAACATATTGGGAAGATGTGTGTGTATAATATATCACATCACTTTGTGTATACTATAGTAACATGTAGATGTCACAGTATAACTATAATGCCTCACTTGTTGTGAACGTCATATATGCACAATGACGTCATCATCAAATAAACGAAGAGCTTCATCTTCAGTATTTACTTGTATTGTTAGTTATTATATTTGTAAAAACCACACAAAAAAAATACATCTGCATAGGTTTTAATTAATGATAGTGGAGTGGTAATCCCGCTACACTTACAATATTCGCTGGCAGGGTATCAGTGAGTGATGATAGGTGAGAATGAATAAACAGGTCAGTTAGCTAATCTTAAAGAATGAACCTGGAATTCAGCACGATTGTTTCCAGGGGGGACCACGTGGAGGTCGACCTGAGAAATTATATTGCGAGCAATGGGATTGGTAGTCCGCATTACTAATAGTCCCAATAAATAAAACATAAAAACTGTCTAGTATTTTTAAATAATTTACGTACGTGTGATAAAAGGAATTGAATGTGACGATATTCCTGGTGTTCCATAGAACTGCATATTAAGGCACTCAAGACCCGGGTCTGCTCGAATACAATATTCTGGAGGTAAGTCTGTCGATGCAGATACCTGATATAAATATATGGTAGATATTAGATACAGAATTACTTTTAATAAGATACAACGACCCCATTACTAGTAATATACCGTCAGATTGACCTCCATGCAGACCTCTGAGAAACATCATGGTTTACTGCTGGTGGATTCGTCACAAAGAGCCAACTAACTTGGTTCCATTCTATTTTATTATCCTTCACTGATGCCCCGCCAATATATGTATAACGACAGAGAGCCAAGGTTATTATTCCATTTTCAAATCATGTAATTTTTTATATGTAAAATTCCATACACCTCATTCTACCTCCGAGAGACGGGACGGTCTTTCTAAAGATTTTGCACACGTCAAACAAAGGATCAGGTACATGATTTTTTTTGCGTCCAAGGATAACAAATAACCGTCCATCCATCCTTACAAATTTTCGCATTTATTATATTATTAGAAATAAGATTATAATAAAGTGAATAAATATATCAAAAATATGGAATAATAGTTAATAGGTGTAGTACCAATCGTGCTTGACGGCAATGTTGTTTTACTAGTGCTATAAATAAGCAACACACTTATATGAATAATGGCAAAAAGTCATTAAAATAAATGATGTTAAGAATCACAGTTAAAGAAAAATAATATTACTTTTACGTACATTTGGTATTTCGATTCTATATATTGCTCCATCCATGCAAGCTGCATAGCAAACCTTTTCTTCTAGCCGACTGTACGATAAAGCATAGACTGGTTTTGGCGGGAATTGTATATTACGTAATGTACACAACACTGTCCCAGTACTGCCATGTCGCATCTGGCAACAAATAGAAATCATAATTACAATAAATACATACAAGATATTTAAACTTGAATAGAAGGCAAAACAATTATTTTTTAGTTTTTTTTCTGTTAGTATGTTTGTTCCGGCATAGAAAAGGCCACCTCTTCCTTTCCCGTGAGTGTCGTAAGAACCGACTAAGGGAGGACGAGGGATAGGCAGCAGCGTTCCTCTTAAAGCAACACCAAATGCCAAACTGCGACAAACCGCCTGCCAAGCGTGGCAACCATTCGCAAAACCCCTCTTTATAAGAGGAGGAGGAGACTATGTACAGCAGTACACAGTTAAAGGCTGATATGATGATGATGATGTTCAATTTGATACTACATCAAATTGAACGCCATTTTCATAATTGTGGTTTTGAAGGTGAAACTTAAAATTTGGCATAAGATTTATTATCTTAATACACTTTCGATAAATATATATCTACTCATACTTCTAAAATCTATACGTAAGAAGTTGCGGGCAAAAGATAGTTACTAGTAAATTTAAAAGTGTGTTAAGAATTTTGTTTGTTAATCAAACAATTGTTATAAAATTTGTCATTTTCCTAATTATTATTTAGGATGGATGACACGCGCGACCTTTTATCTTTGGGATACAGTCGAAGCCAGTAGAAAATTAAAAAGTCTCTTTTTACTTTCAGAAACTTTTCGGTCTCCCTAAAAATGAAAATTTTCATCTATATTTTGATACATTTTATATTAAAGTTACATACATAAATATATTTTCATTTACGTAAATGTATTATTTCTATTCAAACAATAATTTATACCTGGATTAATCCTGACAAATGGCCAACGATAATATGTGAGCCGTGTGGAGAGTACATTAGCGAACATATAGGCCCATATTCGCTAGAATACCATCTATTATAAGTGATTTCATTCCGTGTGCCTTTTAGAAATGTATTATAATTCTCTTCAACCCAAGGGTGACTGTTCGGTTTTCGAATTTTTCCTCGATAAAACATAGGATACCAAATATTCTGGCTCTTCTCATTGTCGTAATAAATGTGAAGATTTTTAGCAAATTCCGCAAGAATAGAATTTATATCACTCATAATATAATATGGTTGCACCATGACATACTAGATCATCACTTATTATAGATATTTAGGTAGATAGGTATGTATAAATAATATAAAGCCGAAAAAGACAATGTTTTTAAATTACATACTATCAAAAAAATACAGCCTATAGCAGGAACTACGTACAAATAAGTAGATTGTTTGACGGAAGAAAAAATTTAATGTTGTAAGTAAATGATTCGATATGATAATAATTTATCTTCTTATTTTATTACTTACCTATAATATGTTATAGATACCTGTATTAATCCAGTAGAGTGACCAACAATAAGATATTCTCCATCGGGAGAATAAATCATACAACAAATGAATCCTAGATCGGATAAATAATCAATTTTTAACAAATTTTCATTTGCTGTGTCCTTAAAGAATCGCTCTTCATTGTCTTGAAGCCATTCTATATCAGTAACGCTGAACCGTTTCTCGGCGAACGATACAAATTGCGTTTTAGCAGCCTCTTCTTCACGAAGTAATTGTTTTTTTATACGCTCTTTATATTCGTCGACAAATACATGTATGTCTGATTCATTCTCAGATAAATTAAATCGGCTATAAGTAATAACGTTAAAATTGCTTAAATTGGATGTATTATAAAAACTTTTAGACATATTTCACAAAATGAATAGTTAATTAAGATCAATTATAATCACAATTCTCAAAATAAAATTAGTGACAGTGTCATTCCCAAACCCATACATGACACATTCTTTTTGTCTTCTATATCTTAAAACAAATGTACACCTTAGCGTAATAACCTACCCTTGAGAATCTTCTCACATAAACACCTACATCTAATTTTTTTAAGTATTTTACGTTTATATTAAGGTACTTTGCTTTTTCTTTTTCTGTCACATTTCATATGTTGAACATGTGTTTAATATGTTTTTTATAGCACTCGAAATTTTACTCAATTTGTCCTTATCTAAAATTGATGAAGTAATCACTAAAAAAAACTATTTATTTCATTGATATAATAATAATAATCTTTATTATTCTGGGCTACAATGGCCTAATTTGTTAGTAACATAATCTTAGCCTAATGTTAGTACATCTTATAATAAAAATAAATAAATAAAAGAAAAAGAAAGAAAATGATGATACAAAAATTATTTTAAAAATGATATATTTGTCAGTTAATATACGTTGATTATTGAAGTTCTACACAATTCTAGTACTCTGTTATTTAGGTAAGTCTTAAAACAAAGTAAACTTTATAGTTCACAAGAAAATACAATTCCCATAACATTATTATTCGTAATGGACACCGTTAATAAACATAATTTATATGTCAACCCATCAACTGTATCATTTTTCACTTACGAGTATTTTTGAGGCTTTCCGTAACATGATAGCCTTGATCCTTTAACTGTCAATATTTAGGAACGACGCAATATTTTCCTCTCCGTCTTCCTTTATATTTTAACTATCCTTTCCTTTTATAATTCATTAATTTCATATCTAATGTATTAATATTTTATGATTCATTAATATTATATACTGATATTCATATATACATAAATGACAAAATTTTGCTTTATGAACAAAACCAACGACTAATCGGTACAAAAAAAAAATTTGATGAACGCCATGTGTTTCGTAGACACATTACATTAAAAATATTATTTTATGCCCTATGACGAGATTATTTTTCAACCGACTTCAAAAAGATGGAGGTTCTCAATTTGGTTGTATTTTCTTTGTTTCTTATCTCATTACTCTGTGAATTCTAAACAGATTTGAAAGTCTTTTTTATCTGAAAAGTTATACTTTAATTGGGCCCATAGAAATATTATGAAAATCGGTTAAGTAGTTTTTAGATCACTGATTTTGTCACAACCGAAGTTGGTTTTTTTTATGGCACACTATCTTTATATGTTTGAGTATATAAAACTTACCTATTATAAAATTTCAGATAGGTAAATTATTATTCAACTTTAATACAATTTTTATTTTACCATAAACATTATCTTTATTTTTTTTTTTTATTTATTATTTTACCGCCAAAACTCATGCATCATCGACAACGAAAACAATTTCTTCCACTTTTACCTATCGTAGTGATTATTTGCTCTGTGCATGCTTGTAAAAATATTTAAATAGATAAGTTTTTTTGGAATGAAAATAATACTTTTATTCATAAAAATACTTCGTGTTTCTACTGTGAAACAGTTATGTTTGCATGGCTGTGTTCCGGTTTGAAAGATGGGATATGACAGTGATTTTACAGGGTACAGAGGAATAACACCTGAGTCCTCAGGAATGGCAGCGCACAGGAAGTATCATGGACGAAACAGTATGCTCTGTTATATCTGTATGTATTGCTCATGTTTTTAGGCGACGGTTTCCACTTTCGATCAGGTGGACTGTTAGCTAGTTTGCCATTCGAACTTCTATAAAAAATATGTGTGCTATAAAATTCCCTAATTGCAAATCATTCTGAGACCTGAAAAATAATAATAACAAAAAATATTTTGTGCTATTATTTAAATTTATTTTAATTAAAGTGGTTAAGTTATGAATGATACTAAAATATTGTAATTATTATTTGAGTGTAAAAATTAATAAGAGATGGCTTAAAACTTGGTATCCACGTCTTTTAAAAAAATCTTAAAAAAACTGAGGAGTTACTATAGTAATGTTGGTATTATTGGATCCTATCTGAAAGAAAGAAACACCTATATACATTTTGTGTATGAAGAGTTGCGATAGAAATATTATTGTTATCGATACATTTCAGTAAAGACGAAAGTTGCCGAACCGGGCGCCATATTGTAATGTCAGATTTTGTGACGCTCCTTCTATGTATTGTGAATTGAATTTTCTAAAAGGTGTAATAAACAGTGATTGAAAATTGCTCGATATCTATAAAATACAGGTAAGAACCAGTCACTATATATAGTTACAGAAAAGTTTGTGTTTAGTGTAAAATTAAACTCTGTTTATAAAATCCTATAATCTAATCGGGGTGTGGTATTCAGTTCACGAATTAGATTTTTGTTTGTTTTGTTTTAATCGAAGTTAAATAGTCAATTCGATTGCATAAAACCTATTACATTTCGAACAGTTTCCAAGTTTAATAGTTATTCATTAATATTTGTATTATGTGTATTTATGGATCTATATTTTCATCTAGCATAGTCATTAATGTAATTGTTTTTACACTTCTGTAGGTGCAAGGGTGCATTAGTGCATCCAATATACCATGAGTTATCAGATGCCATCGTCACAGAGCCGTACCAGTAAGTGAATCTTATCATGTTTATATTGATCTAATAATATTAAATACACTTGCTAACAAAGTGTATAGAGATGGTCATGTTTAAGTAGTACGTTAGTATTGTATACTGTGACTCATGCTAGAAATATTGACTGCTTGTAGAGAAATACTGTAACCTAGGGTACATCTGATAAACCAGCCACAAAGGGATTAATTTTAAAATTTATAAGTTATCCTGTTACAAAATTGTGGTGAAAGTTGAGTATGATTTATTGTTTAAATGCACTAAAACATAAATATCATTTGTATAGTTTACAACTAACTTTAGAAAGGAAATACTCGTAAAATAAACATATTATAAATTTAATCAATACTGAAATATTTTTTTCACTTTATTTATTGTCAATGGATAAGCAATATCATTAACTGAAATCAACCGAGTATTATTTTGAAATACCAGTTAAATAATTATATATAATTTTCTTTATCTATGATAGAATGATAAACAACCTGTTGAAAAATGGTAACCGACATAACAGAATACTAAGATGCCCATGGTACTCATGTATTGCCATTGCTAAGAATTTAATGTTATGCCTCCATACCCTAAATATAAATACCATATTCCACCCCTCAAACTGAACAGCTATGCAAACACAGCTATTTCATCACAGAAACATTAGTGGGACCATATTGGCAACTTTTGTACAATAATAATGTTTATTTTCATCTCTTATAGGATATTTATTCTCATACCCATTAAAATTAATTTACATCTTGTTATGTGCATGTATTTGCAGTTAGTAGTAATTAATCTTTGAATGTATTGATAAGGCAGCTTGAAATAGCACTTCCACTGGCAAGAAAAGTAGGATGTATTGTATTTTGATCCATTAGCTATCTCATACAACTTTTTAAGAATGAAAATGAGTGATAGAAAATGATACTACATACACAATGATAAAAAACATAGTATAATAATTCATAATGTACCTATGCCTATTCTGTTAAATTTTTTACTAAACTAGGTGTTAGTTTGCAATATTTTATATCACTAGTTATTTGATTAGAATTATTTTATTTAAATCTACTACCATTAGTATGTGTGCAACTTCCAATACTCGAAGATTGACTACTATTATTATTATTATTAGATTTTTTGCATGAGAGAATCAGAAATGAGAATATACCCAAAAGAATCAAAGTAACCAACATAGCTGGAATTATAAGCCTGAAGTAGCAATTAAATATAAATGGTTGTTGGTTCATATTCATATAAACAAAAACAGTGTAGGATGACCCCTCACTAGATGAAGAGATGACCTCAAATGCATTGCAAGGAATCAATGAATGCAGGTGGCATAGAACTGTCCCTTTTGCCAGTCTAAGGGGAAGCCTAAGTTTAGCAGTGGACAGATAACAGCTGATGTGATGATGATGATGATTATTATTATAATTATTATTATTATGTGAAGTTCTACAATCTTCCATATTAGCCATCTATCTCCAACTGCCATTTCGACAGCACATGTGTTTTACTTCTAAACAAGGCATCTTCAGACAATGACAATAGTAGTCAATCTTCGAATATTGGCAGTCACACACAAACTGATAGTAATGGAATTAAATAAAATAATTATAATCAAATAAAAAAAAATAGAATTAACTGCTGTAAAGAAAATACTTTTATAAAATGCTTTAAAAATTATTTTCATCTTTCATAAATATTTTTTGATTACAGTGTCTCACAGCAACTATGGTGGATCTGATGTGCCCATGGCTCCAAGCAAGGAGCAGCAGACCCTCATGTGGCAGCAGAACTCCTACTTGGTTGATTCTGGTATTAACTCGGGAGCTGCCACTCAGGTATGTTATATTTTTATTTTCTCAATTTAAAATTTGTTTACTATTCATATGTATTTATTACTAGTTATGTAACTAAGCTATGCCTATATAAATCAGGTTAAAAAGATCAATATCTATAAATTAAAAAAAATAAGTAGTATTTTTTAAATTTAATTTTGTAACCCTTTACGAAATTTAATTTTAAAAATATATTGAATGAGGGTGAAGCTTGCCTAACCTGGGTGTACTGTATGCCTTCTATTAATGCAATAATTTTTAAATTGGTTCATTCAAGAAAACTATGTTTTTACATTTGCACCAAAATTACACTTGCATATCACAATGGGATAGTGAGATCTCAGGCATATTTTCTAATGTTACATTAAATTTCTCAACATGGTTTTACCATAGTTTATTTATTTATTAAATTCATCTAGTTAGTGTAAGTGGCGGACTTAACACCATATGTCGTTATCTATCAGTCGACTGTAGACAGGAATAACAGAAAATATAATTGACAGTGCAACATAATAAGTAAATAAATAAAAAAGAAAAACAGTAATTTATAAATAACCTATATATTATATAATAAAAAATAATGTCAGACAAAAAATAAATACAAGGGAATCAATAATGTCTAAAATATATTATGATTCTAGGGATTCTAAATAAAAAGGACATAGTTTATGCTTGAATATCAATTAGCTTGAGGCGGATCTTATGTCAAAGGGTGTTGTATAGCCTGAATGATGAAAGTCAGTCAATTCTAGTTACAGTATATGGTATGCTATAGTTATTGGTTTTTGTAGGTTCCATCACTTACTGGAAAGGAAGATGACGAGATGGAAGGCGATCAACTAATGTTTGATTTGGACCAAGGATTTGCACAAGGTTTTACTCAGGAACAAGTTGATGGTAGGTGTTAATATCGTAGTCAATTATTTTTATTTTAATACTGAAAAAGAGAAACTCGACCAGCTAGATAAAGGTGGAATAACCATGGATAATACAGTTTATATTATATCACCCATGGTTTCACTAATTTATAATAGGACTAAGGTATTCTAGTCTTTTGGACATCTTTCCTAATACTTTTGCAGGTATTGGAATACCATTAATAAACCAAATAAAGCCGAGTGAATGTGATAGCCTTGGTTTTTGCTCCATTAAATTCAAATATGTCCAATGAAATGTAGACAATTTAAGTGTTACATTCAATACAATTAATTTTATTTGCAAATTATTTCCAGATATGAATCAACAGCTTTCACAAACGCGATCTCAGCGTGTTCGTGCTGCTATGTTCCCTGAGACACTGGAAGAAGGCATTGAGATTCCTTCTACCCAGCTTGATCCTGCTCAACCCACTGCAGTCCAACGTCTTTCTGAACCATCACAGATGCTGAAGCATGCTGTTGTTAATCTGATCAATTACCAAGATGATGCTGATTTGGCTACAAGGTAAGAATAAAGCCTTTTAGCATACTCATCCTTTTACAGAAAGTAACAAACATTTAAGTGCCTTTTTGCTTGAAATGACTGAATAAAAATAGTACAAGAGTGGACCATACCTTAGATTAAGACTATCCTGGGACAAAGCTGGACAGAAAGAAGCTGTGGATTAATTTAAATAATAAATATATTTGGCAGAAATATAATTAATAATTTGATTATAATTTTCAACAAATTATAATTTGCCACATTTAAAAGCATTTATATATTATTTATTTTATGTATGTTTCATGTAAATTATATAATTTCGTAAGCTAATATAATTAAATAAATTTTATCTAAAATTGCAACTTAGAAGATTTTAATTTTCTTTTACAGAGCTATACCAGAGTTGATCAAATTGTTGAATGATGAAGATCAAGTGGTTGTATCTCAAGCTGCCATGATGGTCCACCAGCTCTCAAAGAAAGAGGCTTCACGGCATGCTATCATGAATTCACCACAGATGGTAGCCGCTTTAGTTCGCGCTATTTCCAATAGTAACGACTTGGAGACAACAAAGGGAGCAGTTGGAACCCTGCACAATTTATCTCACCATCGTCAAGGATTGCTGGCTATCTTCAAGAGTGGTGGAATACCAGCATTGGTCAAGTTACTCAGCTCGCCAGTAGAGTCTGTCCTCTTCTATGCCATCACAACTCTTCACAACCTACTATTACATCAGGATGGATCCAAAATGGCCGTAAGACTGGCTGGAGGTCTGCAGAAAATGGTGGCTCTGCTCCAAAGAAATAATGTTAAATTCCTTGCCATTGTGACAGATTGCCTGCAGATTTTGGCATACGGTAATCAAGAATCGAAACTTATTATCCTTGCTTCTCAAGGACCGATCGAATTGGTACGAATTATGCGTTCTTACGACTACGAAAAGCTGCTGTGGACCACCTCAAGAGTTTTAAAGGTAAGGTCAAGTACTTTAAGTTTTAAAAAATGTTATTGATAATAGGTAATGTAATTCTAGTGAAAGATGCGGGACCACCTCGATTTATATTTCTGTTCATGCCTATTTAGAATTATATAGTGTTTAGTTAAATAAATACATGATTCCTATACCAAAATATGTGTAAAAGTGCCTTACATGCTTAACATAAATAATATATATAACATAACATATCATTTGAAACAATGCTTATGAACAGCTTTAGGTCCAGTACAATAAACATTTATCAAAAACAAATATCAGTTACTCCTTTATGTACACTAATATTATGAAGAGGAAAGATTTGTATTTTTGTGTGTGTGTATATTTGTAATGAATAAACTCAAAAACTACTTTGCCGATTTAAAAAAATCTTTCTCCATTAGAAAGCTACATTCACCTTAAGTAACATAGGCTATATTTATTGTTAGAAAAGATTAGGGATCCTTACTAAAACTTTAGTAACGTAACTCAAGGTGTAAAAACAATGCTATAAAATATCTTTCGGCCCGTGCGCTGCGGAAACTATTTGTGATAGAACAAAAATATGTTCTACAATATTTGAAGAAAATATCAATAACTACAAAAAACTTTGGGATACTATATGTCCAACTATTATCGTTATGTCACAATAATCACTGTAAGCGATGTACCTCGCACCTCGTAAAATGTTATAATTGTAACCACTAGCGCCATCTGTTAGCATTTGATTGAATTAATGCCGGCGCGCATGCGCCAAACGATTGCCCTGTGACACGTGTGTGCACGAGTTAGTTGTTGTTAGTTTGTAGTTGTTTTGTGGATTAATTAAAAAAGTGTCTTGCAAGCATCCGTTTCATTTTGATAACTACCATAAAAACATTTTCCAACAACGGTCTGTTACAATCACTTTTTACATTTTATAAGCTGATAGATTCATTCGCGCGGTCGGGTTGCTCAGCGGATGTAAGCGATATTCAACATTTTTTGACGATTATAATTACATTTTTTTTTGTCGAAGTTTAAAAATGTCCACTCGTGCGAAGCCGGAACGGGCCGCTAGCATACAATATAATAATACATATAACATTTTTTTCTTTTGTCTAGGTGCTTTCGGTCTGCTCAAGCAACAAGCCTGCTATTGTCGAGGCTGGAGGCATGCAAGCTCTAGCAATGCATCTTGGTAATGCAAGTGGCCGACTCGTTCAGAACTGTCTCTGGACATTGAGGAATCTTTCTGATGCTGCCACTAAAGTAAATACTAGTCTATCAATATTATTGCTTCTGATTCGGTACTTACACGAAGCCACTATGTATTTCTTTTTCTTGTAGTTAGGTCATTATAATGTAATTTTCCTAATTTAAATTATTTAATAATATAACATAGTATACATGTATGAATTTATGTACTGTTAATTAAAAATTAATTAGAAATGTTAAAAAAGAACTATATATAATTAGCATGCACAATGTTAGCTAAATATGAAGCTCTCTACTTATTAAGTGAGAACTTTTTAACACCTATTCAAAACAAATAAAAAACAAATTACAGGTCGAGGGCTTGGAAGGTCTGTTACAAAGTCTGGTGCAAGTCCTTGCCTCAACTGATGTCAACATTGTCACCTGTGCAGCTGGCATTCTATCAAACTTGACATGCAACAATCAACGTAATAAGGTAATTGATGTTACACTATTTATATTTATTCTATTCTTTCATATTTAACACACTTTTTGGAAAAAAAAAATATGTTTACAATATTATTATCATAAGACCCTTCTTAAATAAGATTAAGTAGTTAGTAAACTACCTAATCTTAATTTTTTTTTTTAATTTGACTTTTTAAATTAACATGATGTAAAGTCAACAAAACGTGTATTACTGATCTATTTATTAAATTAATTGGAAGGGTATTACAGAAATGAACATTTAAATATATTCAAAAATCACTTCTGTTGAAAAACAATTTCCAAAATGGGTTAATGTTTTCAAATTTTTTTTTTTTTGAACGACAGCTTTCATATGTATAGAAGTTTTTAATAGAAATAAACATTTATTTATTTTCATTTGTACAGGTAACAGTGTGTCAGGCGGGCGGTGTAGACGCGCTTGTTCGCACTGTAGTATCAGCGGGAGATCGCGAAGAGATCACCGAACCCGCCGTCTGCGCTCTGCGTCACCTCACCTCGCGCCACGTCGAGAGCGAGATGGCTCAGAACGCCGTTCGCCTGCACTACGGATTGCCGGTGAGTGAGAGACGATACGAAATATTAATGCTTTTAATTCTGAATTACATCCAGACATAATAAAAATCATTGTGCTAAATGATTCATGGTGCTTATTACGCATGCTCATGGAGTTGATTGTGTATTTCACATAGACATAAAATATTTTTTTATTTTATGTCTATAGTTAGTGTTGCAGGCGTACATAGGATTATATTGAATATATAATTGACAAAAATAACATTACAGGTAGTTTTAAATGTTAATTAATAAAATAAAATTAATACATATGGATATGGGATTCTTTTTATGAGATGAAAATGTAATAGCCATCCAGCCCGTGCTACTAGGCTGGCAGGTTACCAGTGAAGGATGAGGGATGATAATATGTAAACCCATTGTGACAAATTTACCTTTATCACAACAGTCTCCACCATGTGAAAGTCAACTAGACAAAATATATCCTATATTGCTAGCAAAAGTTTGTCCAGGGCTTCTGTAAGGTGCATTGTCGATATCTATTTTTAATAATTTATGTATACATATATAGAAGATAAATAAAATAATAATCCTTTAAGTCACCTGAAGTAAACTGATTGATGATTTGCGAGTATTTGCACCAATTTCTAAAAAAATAGTACATAATTACACTACTGTTGCGCGACGTCCGCAACAGATGGCAGGAGTCTCTATACATCCCCATAGTTATACATTTACAGGGACTAATATATAACTATAAAAAATATGTAATTAGAAATGTAATACACTCCACAGGTGATAGTGAAGCTGCTGCAGCCACCTTCTCGCTGGCCGTTAGTGAAGGCTGTGGTTGGCTTGGTTCGCAACCTAGCGCTGTGCTCGGCTAACTACGGGCCACTGCGTGAACACGGTGCTGTTCATCATCTCGTTCGACTTTTGATGCGTGCATTCAACGATACTCAAAGGGTCAGTGTAATAATGGATTTTATCAAGCTTTCTCTTTTAAAAATCTATATAATATGTCTTTTAATTTTTACAAAATAAACAATCACCATCATATTGAAATATGAGTATAGGATAATTTTAAATTAAATAATAATTATGTGAATATTATAGAAATAAAAGTGTTATTTAATCATGCTTAAATATCGTAAAAGAAAATAAATTTTACACATAAATAAAAAGTACAATTTATTGTCTATATTCAAACATTTTATTTTAATATTATTTATGAAAATTATACTATTTTTTAGTATTATTTTGTGATGAAAAAGGAGAAAAGGGCAGGTTAATTCTTAGTGCTTGTTCTTTTTATTCGTTACTATAATAAATTGAAACTAAAACAAAACATACTACTTTAAACATACTCACTATTTTATTTAGAAAAGATTATAAAAGAAGAAAATATTTGTAAAAGTTTGAAAAGTGTAAAATAAAAAACATAAATCTCTTTGTAATAATTTATATTGAATATAATAGATATACTTATTGGTATTCTGAAGAAAATAAACTATTATAATATTAGAAAGTTTAAAAATTATTTTGATAATTAAAAAATATTTAAATAAATAAATATTTTACTTACATAAATATGGTTCTATTTACATCTATGATTGCGAATGTATGCAATTACAAGTAACAATAATTTGTTACTTTACAAAGTGACCATTTCTATAACGAATAGGCCAGTTTGTCAGGAACCAAGATTTGTTATAGATAAAAATTATTTAAATTTTCTGACAGCAACGGTCCTCGGTGTCTGGTGGTGGTGGCGGCGTTGGCGGTGTCGGTGGTGCAGGAGGCGCCTACGCAGATGGCGTCCGCATGGAAGAGATTGTAGAGGGCGCTGTGGGCGCACTGCATATTCTCGCTAGGGACTCGCTCAACAAACAACTTATACGCCAACAAAACGTCATACCGATATTTGTTCAGTTGCTGTTCAACGAGATCGAGAATATACAAGTGTGTACAATTTTACGTTCATTCATAAGCATTATTTTTAATTCCGCTACTCTCAACACTCGAAGAATAAATTGGTGGTCATTCTTTGAGCGTTGATAGTCACAAATACTAATACTAGTGGCAGTGGTGTCCATTATTACCAGTGGTTCCACAATCTTCCATATTAGTCATCGATTTCCGACAGCTATTTTGTGTACGCACGTTTTGCGATACATGTTTCACCTCTAAACGAGGCATTCACAGGCAAATTGTTAAATCGCTGCTCTGAGTCTAGTGTTAACTATTTGGGTACTCAAACTTTGAAAGATTATTTTTCGATCATATTACCGTATTTAGATTTTATTTATATGTATAAGACGACATTTTCAATATTTATAGACCTATTTTGATCAGTCTTTTAATCCAAAGGTTTCCACCTTTGGATTAAAAGACTGATCAACCACCTTTGAATTCTTAGTTCTTTGCAGTCTTAGTTCCATACCAATTTTGTTGAGATTGTTATTGTTAAATTATTAAAAACTTAGATTGAAAATGCATAGAATATTTTTATTGCATGGATACTTATTTCTTTTAATGTGAATGAACATATAACCTATTTGAAAATGTATATTATAATCTGTTTGAAGACTTATTTTTAAGTTTAAAAAAAAAACTGTATTAAATTACATTTGTATATTTAAGTACAAGTAAAATAGTGTACTTGTATATTTATGTTTTGCTTAAATTTTAGCGTGTCGCTGCTGGAGTACTCTGCGAGCTGGCCGTAGACAAAGAAGGCGCAGAGATGATAGAGGCTGAAGGCGCTACTGCTCCGTTAACTGAACTACTTCATTCGCGCAATGAAGGTACGTTTTTTAATGATAATTTGTTTTATATACTAATAGGAATTTTTTGTGTGATGCCAAAGTAAGATGTAGTAAAAAGTGTTGCTACTTCTTCATCCCATAAGTTGGTGATATTCACCCAGATTTTAAAAGTTACTTTATCAATAAATGAATAGTAACATATATATGGTGATGAATTTAAACATACTGGAAACGAAAAACATTTAAAATGTACGAAGTATATATTATGATAGTACATGACAAAAAATTTATACTCATAACTGTTCATCCAGAATTAGTTAAATGGAGGCATTTGCTGATTAAAAAGAGCACACTAAAATTAATCATAAATAATTCTTAATAGGTGTCGCTACTTATGCTGCTGCGGTGTTGTTCCGTCTGTCTGAAGATAAGCCTCACGATTATAAGAAGAGACTCTCTATGGAATTGACTAATTCTTTATTCCGTGAAGATCCACAAATGTGGCCAGCTGATTTGGCTATGCAACCGGAGTTACAGGTAACATATGGCACCTACACATAACACTATACTATGTTTCCAGTTATATATTTACTGTTATATTAGAAAAAATGCAATAGTCCTCCAAGATATGAAATACTTCTATTTCTTGTCATACAAGTTAACAGTAAATATGTAACTTAATTGTAACGGATTTGATCCACAGATACTAAATTAATTAGATATGTCAATTATGTTAATATAGTGGGTCCTGTTTAACAAAAAAATTAAATAGGTTGCATGTGTTAATTATTATAATGTACAAATTAAAGTTCATTGGAACTGATTGATTAAATTATTGATTAAAAATATTAAGAAAAGGATTTTATTTTTCTAAATATACTATTATATCTCTTGTTGCTACTTTTTTTTTAAATTTTCTACAAAACAAACATGCACAATACTGATATAATAAGATGGTTAATTTTGAGCACATATCTATTCAACTTGGTATCTACTGTTGGTGTTTTACACGCTTTTCTATACCAGATCATCACATAGATGTAAGATAATGTTTCTGAAAACTGAAATAAATATAGGAAAGGTATTTTTTACAAAATAATATACGAAAGAGCGTCTTACTAAATGTTGTTTATAATATTATTATTATATCTGAAATTATTAATAAAATTAATTTGAAACCACCATTTGAACCTTTTTTTTATTTTAAAATAATAGATAAATTTGGTTTACAATTAGATATCGTTATTCAATTGTCAAATTAAGTATCTTTTGAAATTTGTTAAAAAACAAATGTTATTCTCAGTTTTCTGAATTGTTTCCCTTACATTCTGTATAAATGCACATGGTGTTTAATTATTTAATAGAAGGGCTTTTCTCTCGTGTCATTTGCAAATTGTGAATTTAATATTCCTCGCACAACACATGGTTTTCAAAAACGCAAAATTTCAACTTCCACTTCATTAAAATTTATTTCCAAACGTCACCCTTTCGTTTAACCTGTTTAGTTTTAGACCTAATTCACTCCTATTTCGTTTGATTATGATCCGATACCCTTCATTAGGACATGCTCGGGCCGGAACAGGGCTACGAAGGGCTGTATGGCACGCGTCCATCATTTCACCAACAAGGTAAGATGCAAATGGCGTGCACATGTTTGTATAACTAACACTGAATATGAACTCTGTATGTGACGTACATTTATTGAGTATGTATGTAACATACATTGCAATTTTAATATGTAGTGGTACAAGGTATTACAACAGCTGATTAAAAGCATATTGTCTATGTCTATATAGTTTTAAAATGTGGCAATAAGAAAAGTTTAGAAAGTATCATCACAAAAAAATCCAAGAAGGAAAACGAAATACGAAGTCTTATTCATAAAACTTAAAACCGAAATAGTTTTTATCAAAATTCTTTTGTGGTATGCATTAGTGCTTGATGCATTTTCTTATGTAGTTCTTATGAGATGTATTGGGATTTTTCATATTAGTTTTCATCCAAACTCAAATGAAACTATTAAATAATATAAAAAAAAAATCATGCAAAATAAAAAATGTACATTATTTCAATAATAATATACCATAACATGTTTATTTTAATGAAAGTAGCTCTTGTAATATCTTGAGTTTATTCTGGGAGATATTTCGGCAAACGTCAAATTAAAAAGTCTCTATTTTCGAATGACGTATTTTGTATCGAAATATATCTCAATATACACATATAATTAAGAGCACCTTATGTTCCTATCATATAAGATTTGATGTTATCTTTATAAATATATTTTCTCTGTCCTTTTCACGCAGCTTAATCCGGGCCCTATTTATCATTAAACTCAGGTGATGGGAATATTATTTTTATGGTTATGTTGTGTTCTAATTTCATGTTTATATTATTTATTTAATGTTTTTAATGTATTCATATGCATAAGTTTTATTATAATATTGTTTTAATGCGTTTAGCATGTTATCAGATATTTAGTAAGTGGGTGTAATTTACCTTTTAAATTTATCAAACATAACTTGTTCATCTCCATAATATGATCTCATAATTCATTATGTAAAATATACTTTAAATTCTATATAAAAAGGCTATTATGAAATTAGCTGTGCCACAAGCATGTAACTAATTTTTTATACCCTTTTTTATGTTCCGATCCATGATCATAATTTGACCTACATTTTATGTAACTGCAAAACAATGGCAAAGTATCCACTATGAAGCTTGATATAAAGTAACATGGCAAATTTATAATATTTTGTTGTGTTAGCTTTGCTGAACCATATATCAATAGCTTGGAGACGCTGCTTCATTCTATATCGTAATAGCAGCTGCTTTCATTGCTGTATTTAATATTATTATTAAATCGTATTTGTGTTCATCTAATTATTTATCTTAAAACAATATGATTCATATCAAATAAATTCTACTCGATTGGTCTCGTATAGGATAATTTGTCGATAATTACCGTTGTAGTGAATGTAACAATAAAAAAATAAAGATGCTCATGACTGTAATCCCTAATTCAAAGGCATACGTCGACTATTGCATTTGTGGTAAACGTAACACTTCACATGGCCATATTTCGTCGAACTTACTCAAGTCCACGATTTGCAAATATCGAGCATATTTTATCTAACGTACGGGCAGACGATTCTACTGCAATTTCGTATCGACAATTACTTCCGAATTCGTTGAAATTTAAATTGGAATTAAGTTTTATTAGAAGTCCAATTCGGCAATCACGGCCACTAATGTTCTCGACGTCCTACATTAAAAATCTATGTATAATGTGTCCACAGTATAACATTCATCATGTTGTTCTTGTCTATAGATGTCGATTACCATTTTGTTAATCGACTTTCAGCTATTTTGTCATTTGTACTACTCTAAATAAAGATCAAGCGTCACATAAATATCTGTCATATTTAAGTTATTAAATATCTATCAAAGATTCTCAATTATAACCCATATTGAAACTGGCAATATTTTACTATAATATAATACGTTTAAAGCTTCAAACTCTTGCACTCTCTAAATTATCAAGTGACGCATCATACAAACTATTTATTTTAATAAAGATCACATTCCAGTTTGGTAATTATATTAATTAATTGAGACATTTGTGGCTGTACCATTGCTAATTTAAAGAATTACTGAATGTATATATATATAAATTATCTGTTACACTATTGTGTTTAGTACATTCTCCAATGTTATCATTGTATGGTAGATTTAAAAAAAATATGTAAAACTATATAAAATTTCTAAAATTCACCACACATTATTTATTAAACAAGAAAAAAAAAACAAATATGTTTTATTTGTATTCGATTTTGAGATACATAACCACATTAATATTTACAGGGTACGATCAAATACCGATAGATTCGATGCAGGGTCTAGAAATTGGCAGCGGTTTCGGCATGGAAATGGATATAGGTGAAACAGAAGGTGCAGGCGCGGCGTCGGCAGACCTCGCTTTCCCTGAGCCGCCACATGACAACAACAACGTGGCGGCCTGGTACGACACCGACCTGTGATCCCGCCACGACTTCGATTAGATGTTGTTACTAGACTGCGTTTTACGAACCTACATTATTTTTGGACTAAAAAATGAAATTAAATCTTACGATGATGACATTACGGTTGTGTTTTTCAAGTTAACAAAATTTATTTGACATTCAAAATTGAAGAATTTTCGTGTAAGAAATGAAAGTTTTGTTTTTTAGTCCAAACGTTTTATTTCATGAGACTCGCTTTAATTTTATTCGTTTTAGACCTATTTTCATTCATTTATAGTGTTATGATTTTGCTATTTTTGTCACTGTTCAAAAAGAAATAAGTGAATGACAAAATGAAAAATACCGTATCCATGAAAAAAAGAATACTGTACGTTGTTTATCTTAATTATTCTCAACAGCATATTGTTCAATGAAATAAAAAAAAAAACTTATTTCCCCTCTACGCTAAGCTTTGCCTTATCTAGCGAGGATATGTAGTTTAAAAAGGCGTTACCAAAATATTTATTCTCACTTATGCTGTTGAACTCGTATGCTGTTGATATAAATTTTCACAAAACTCGTAACAATATCAGAGAAGTTAACGTTCAAATGGAACAAAATACCTGTGATACCAATTAAGCAGCTATAAAAGCGCTCGATAAAAAAGAAAAAAAAAAAACACAAAATGACAGACTCAATTCACCCCCTTTTAATTTTTCAATTGGTGCTAAGTTTGAGAAAAAAAAATTATTAAAAAAAAAAGATATTGTGTGAAAGCGTACGCCCTGCATTGATTATATCGTTCGTTTTATACGCGTACGTATAAAATGCGTGTAATCGGGAAATAGGGTAAATTAACTTTTAAGATTTTTATAGGCTTTAAATCGTATTTCATAGTTGTCTATGTAATTGAAATTATACGCGCATTTAAAAAAGTATTTTGATTTATTTAATTAATTACTGAATGAATCATTTATCGTGTGTATTTTGTTATTGCAATAAAATTAATGTATGAAGCGTTTTATTTAAATAATGGATAAGACTGGTCGATTGATAGGCATGTATTTAATGGGTGACTGCCATTTTTAACAGAACTGTGTATTTCTTTTTTATTAATATAATAGATGGTGGCCAAACTACGGTAGTGTGATTGGTAATAATTGCCATTTGATGCGTTTTTTTTTTTAATTGACTTAAGATATGTAGTAAAAGAGGCAATGTTCTCTACAATATTTGTTAAGTAGACATTATTTGGACTTAATTTTATGCGTTTTAATTATTCACAATACAGACAATGTTGCAATATTCCACTGGATGAACTCCGCTTTATACTTTCCATTGCATGAGTTGTACAATAAATAAATCCCAGTTATATCTATATTATTTATTCAATTTTATACAAGTCATATTTCGTTTGGTATGATTAAATTGTACTTAAGTAAAACATTTCACTATCAGTTTTTTACCTATGATATTCAGACTTAGTAATGCACTCCATACTAAATACTAACCCACCCATAGCAGAATATATCGTATAGAATAATGTAATCCTAACTTCGTCAAATACAACGCGTATAACTATGGTCTTCAAACGTCTTTGTCGTTGGTGAAATAAAATTAATTACGTATTACCACACTCCATGGTTTCAGCGATTTCTTTGACGAAGTCTCTTGTATTAGGGTAAGATTTAGGAATAATTACATAATGTTCTCTTAGGTCAACCTATAATTTTTCTATTACACAATTTGTCACTGCTTTCATTGTTTATGAAGACAGTGCTCAAATTATTTTGTGTCCATTTATGTATGGATAATAAAATTAATTTAAATAATATATTTGTATTATTTATACTTACTGCGGTATCCTATTATTTTTTTTTTTTTTTTTTGATTATAGTGCTTATATTATTTCATATTTATTTTTGTTCAAATCTAATACAAATATAATTCTTTTTTTTTTTTACAAAATTCCTTAAATACTAATAACAATTAAAAGTAATCTCCCAACGCACCACACCGAGGCAGCGTACCCAAGATACTGGCAGCATTACCTCTTTGGATTGCCAAACTTATCTTTTGGGCAAAGTAGCTACCAGCTCTTATCCTATCCTATTATTTCATTCCCATTTTTCTATGTCGCATAACATGGAATGTCAAATCAACGTCCCACCTGATGAAAGTGGTAACCGTCGCCTGTAGACATGCAACATTATGAGCTTTACATATTTTAAATTTAATTACAATAGAAACATTCAAATACTGTAGTCAATTCTGAACCACCAACTCCACACTAGAATCGAGCCAATTACCTAATTTATCTCTAAAACTAAAATTTCAATATTATATTACATCGAAATGATGATTCTAAAGATCAATACAAACTTTTTTAATAGAATTACGTCAGAACTTAGTTGCGTTTAATTCTCGATGGTACACGCCGTGATAGTTTTGCTAAACTCAAATTTAAATTTTATAGATAAATTGGGCAATGGGGTCGCCTCTAAGACGCCATTTTTCTAAATTTATTTCTAACATTAAACTTTCAATTTAATATAACAGTCGAATCTTTATTCCGAAGACCAATGTCAACAAAATTTTAAAAAAATTAAGTTACAATTATAAATTATCCATAAAACAGTTATCATCAACATATCACCCTTTAACTGTCCACTACTGAACATAAGCCTCGTCTTAGGGGGCTTCGCCAGTATCAGGCGGATTAGTAACCGCAGTTAGGCTTTGGAGATGTTTTAAGAGGAAAGCTGCTGCCCATCCCTCGCCCTCCCTTAGTCGCCTTTTATGACACCTACGGGTAAGGAAGAGATGGGCTATTCTATACAGAGACCACACCGAGAGGTAAACACTACAACCATAAAACAATAATATCGGGAAATTATTACATTAAGTTTAGTTTGGGGTGGACTTTTAGGAGCCATTTCAGGCTCTAAAAGTCCACCCCATATGATTTTTTTTATAATAAACATGAAATAGGTCATTAAAACAAGATACAATATTATAATTTAATGTTGTGTTCCATAAAAAATAATACAATCGTGATAAAACAAGTTATTTTAATTTAAAAACCAAACTATTAAATCGACTTTAATAAATTGTCTGTGGATCCAATACCTAAAGTATGTCCCCGCATATAAAAACAAATTCAAAAATCGTTAAATAACGGGAGTTATGAGGTAATAAAAAAAGTATGACTGAATTGAGAACCTCCACCTTAAATGATAATATCGGACATCTCTAGTGCAGTTTTAATATGTAGGTATATGAAAATACTTGTTCATACTAATTACCAAAATCACTCAATTTAATGCTTAGATTATGAAATAATACATAAGTTATTAAGTCTATAATTTAATGAAATTTCTTAAATATGCCTTTTGTTTTTGCCAACTTAAAAGATAGGATAGTTTCTATACCGATACCTATCTGTACGATAGAGATTTGGCCTGTCAGTTGTCAGGTAAACCAAAGAAAGAAATTCCGAAAGAATTGAATGTTTTTTAGAAATAAACCAACAAAACATAATTTTGAGAAGTAGACATCTTTTTTATTTATCTTTAAAACTACTTTTAGATTTGAAATTTAAAATTGAAATCACTGACATAATTATATATTCCCCGTGTGTCATACCAGTCAAGTTGATTTAACAATTGATCTAAGGTAGGTGTATAAAAACGGTTACGGACATAGTTTGATAAGCAGATATTGCTTAATTGAAGCGCATTCAAGTGCTATAGGTACAAGTAAATGCAACAGTCATTTGAGCTTTAACTTCAAAGTAATATGTATATGGTTAAACTACATGGAACCAAAGACAGCGTACTCTGCTAGTCCGCAAATTGTTAGCGAAGCTAGGTGACACCGCAAGCCGCGACCCAACTTCCCCCACCTTTGTCCTGATAGTTATTATGTGCAATTAGGACTTAGACAGAGGTGAGCACTAATCTTGCACTAACTTCGACGCGCTTCTATATTGAGAAAATAGTTGCCCCTTGTAATTGCGAGGTTGATAAACTAAAAGTCGTGCAGTTTGTATTATCTACGTATAAGATATTTATTTAATAAGTCTCATTATAAATTAATGCGAAGGTTAGGATGGATGGACGTTTGCCGCTTTTTCCCCGCAAAAACTGAGTTGAACGAAATTTGGTTCTAGTTTTATTTTTCATCGTAGGAAGGCCAACGAGCAGACGGTTCACCTGATAGAAAGCGGCCGTCGCCCATGAACCTCTGAAACAAACAAGGAGTTGCTTGTGCGTTGCCGGCCTTTTAAATGTTTATAGGCACATTAATTTTTTTTTTTATATATATTTTTTTGCCAATACTTATTTAAATTCTCCTAATTAATAAGGGAAAATTGAAAGCTGGAGCTCATTCTACAACCTAGATATACGAGGTAGAAATAAACGGGATGCATGGACAGTAGTGTTATGCCATGCACATGGGTGAACTCCAAATCTCTGGTGAAAGGTTCAAGTACTTAACACATAGGTTACTTTATATACTATTTATATTATCCATGTTTTCCTTCGCGTGACCAGGATATGTTTATTAACCGGAACCTAAAATAATCTATATTTTTCTCCAAAGCATATAGCTCATGTATATTAAATTTCATAGTGATTGATTAAGGTGCAAAGTTATAAGGTAACAGACTTGAATTTATAATATTAGTAAGAATCATTATCATCTGTCAGCGGATTACTGTTCACTACCGAACATAGCTCTCCTCTATGATGGGGGGGGGGAGATCCAGTAGTTGCCACACTTGCCATCTGATGATTTAAGAGGGACACTGTTGCCCATCCCTCAACCATTAAGTCCCCTTAGTCATCTAATATGACATCCATGGTAAAGGAAGGGCTGGCCCATTCTACACCGGGACCACATGACTATTAGTAAGGATATACCCGGGTAAAGCTACGGGATTTAACTAGTAAGTAATAAGTACCGATACAACATCATAACCTTCAAGAAAAGAGCTTATTCCTTTTTAAAAGGCCGACAACATATCTGCAATGCCTTTAGTGTTGCGGGTGATCATGGGCCGCGGTGGTAACTTACCATTAGGTGAGCCGCATGCTGATTTGTTCCCTGTATTATAAAAAAAAAACAATCATACCAATCGCCAGGTTCTTAAACTAAGACATTCTGTATTATGAGGGAACAGGCAACAAATATCTGAGGACACAATCCAAAATAAGCAGCCCCAAGCCAATTCCGATATGTTTGTTTCCTAAAGCGACCTTGCCACTACGCTAAGTAGGTCTTCAAATTGACAAAGGAATGATAACCCCGTCCGCGCGGGGGAAAGGGAATGTTAGTAATGAAGTCTAACAACCTCATTGCTAGCAATATACCCTAACAGGTCGACGATCTCGTGTTTCTCCCTAAAAACCATTGTGATTAATTATTGATGAATTTGTCACGATGGGCCAATAGATCCTGGGCCTGCTTTCATCCTCGCCTACCCTCCCTCACTGGTGTCCTGCTAGCGTATACCGATAGCGCAAACGGGTTACCATTCCATTACCATCCATTAAAAAAAAACAGTCCGCGCGAGAGGAAAAGAAATCGTTAGTAATAGGGGTCTTACAGCCCTATTGTTACCAATACATTCTATCAGGATAACCTCCACGTATTTCTCATGGAAACTATCATGGTTAATTCTTGTGGAATTCGTCACGATGACGTAATTGACCTTTTTTTATCCTCACCTAGCATCCCTCACTAATTTATCATCTCTCACTGGTGCCCCGCCAGCGTTACTGTTCACGCTGCCGGGGTATGTACTAATTGAAGTGATAGGTGAGGAGAGTGAGAACGAAATCATATCACCCATTATGATGGATCGTCATGAATTAAGCAAGTAGTAATATTAAAAAAAAAACCATCACCTATAACCATGACCAAGAGAAGCATCCGATCCTTTGTACGACGAACATCTGGAGCAATTGGAAGCATCCAGCCATCGCAGTCAATTTAGAAAAACATATTTTCTAAAACAATCCTATCAAGAATCGAACCCAAGACCTTATATACGCAAAGCAAAGTTTACCACTGTGCTATGAAAATTAACAAATGTAACTACTAATTCAAGTAACGCTACTATTTACTATTCACCTGGGAGTTTCCAAATCACAGTTAGAAACCGGCAATCATTTAGATACCTACCTACTCATGTTTCATTCTTGTAGGCACTCTATGGTTCGGTCTTTTCCCATGCGACATTCACTAGTAATTAAGGTTAATGCTACATGAATAATTCGTGTACTTCATGTTAGTGGGAATAAGGTTCAAATTTGAATTGAATATAAATACTATTAATAATTATTGAGGAGTGAACTGTTGTCGATAATTATTGTTCGTGAACTTAAATGTATGTGTAGCTACAAAATTTCATAGGCCAAGTGAGTTGTGAACAGGGATTTCGAAAATTATTGTGTAGAAATTCCAATCGTACGTACGTACTTAATAATTCATTATTAGACAGCTTTACATGTTTCGAGTACTAATTAGAGGTGTAATTAATGGTTTGTACTAACATATCTATTACCAAAATGTAAAACATTATTTAGTTTAATGGATTACCTATGCAATTAGATTTTTGAAGCATCTGCTGAAAATTTCTGAAAATCTAATTAAGCTTTAAAAATATAGGTAATGCTATTTAATGCTGTATGTAAGACAGGTATGATATTTTCAACATTCCGTTCATGCCATACAGCAATAGAGCTCTAAAAATTATTCTTTTAGTTTCAATATCGCAATGTACAAACGATTATTACATGGTACGGAAACAGCCAAAGTTTATTTG